ACATACAAACTCCATGCTTAAAGGCCAAGGAAGTGAAACCCGGCACGAAGAGACAACAGTGAACCACCTGTGCTCTCTCAGTTCTCCTCAAATGCACCAATACCCAGGAAATCATTTCCCCACCCACCTCACCCCTCGTTAAATGCAGACAAATCAGCCACTGTATTTTTTCTCTTGAGGGCAAGTAAAGCGATTAGAGGTCAAAAACACTAATTACTGAGTCCGTCATTTAATCTGGTTGAGGCCGGAGATTAGAGTTATAATCCCATCACACTGCCACCGGAAATTATAAATCAGTGTAACATCTACCTGGCCTCCCATTATGTTTTTCTTCAGTAGACAAGGAGAAGAGTAAGGGGTGGGACAAAGAAGAAGAACCGAAGAAGAACTGTGGAGAGCAGGAAAGGGGATGAGAAGACTCAAGGAAAAGTGAAAGAGAGAGAGAAGAGAAAGTTTAACTTGCTGTCTGTTACACTGACTCTGTTGTCTATCGAACCCATGGACCCCGGGACTGGGGGGAAAGCAAAATAAAGCAGGCACAAGGAGAAACCAACTCAGTTCTCCCTCAACACCCCCCACCTTCTTTATGCCCCCCCCTGGGAGGTAATGTGAATCTGAAGGTAACAGAAGCCAGTCACGCTGGACATGCTTATCCAGACAGACTCAACGTGTGTGTGTGTGTGTGTGTGTGTGTGTGTGTGTGTGTGTGTGTGTGTGTGTGTGTGTGTGTGTGTGTGTGTGTGTGTGTGTCTGTGTGTGTGTGTGTGCCGTGCAGATTGAATCCTGCATCCCTGGGGAGCCTAACTACCTCTCCATCTCTCTGACTGGCCCTCTCGGAGACACAGAGAGAGAGAGAAAGAGAGAGGGAGAGATAGAGAGGGAGAGAAACGCACAAAGAGAGATTTGGAGAGAATTAGAAAGAAAGAGCAGAAGAAAGAAAAAAGCCAGAGCAGAGCAGTCGTGGCTGAGGCGAAGCCCAACAGCTCCCTCTGTCGTCACCTAGGAAAGGTCCAGTACCTCTCTCATCCATCCCCCTCTTTTTTTCTCCTTCTGTCTTCCATTTGAATTTGATCTCCTCATCTTCAACATGTCCCTCTGTTTCTCTTTCCAATGTCTCTTTTCCCTCTTTCACAGAAACTAGTTTACAATGCCAAGACTTATGAGAATCAGCAGCTGGCGCCTAATTAAATATAAATATAACGATTACAGTGTAATAAATTAATCCCTCTATCTCCCTGCCTCCCTGGTGAGCTATGTCAGCAGTGTTTGGAGTCAGTTGCCTTTAAACTCATTCCAGCAGAGGAGTTTTTTTTTTTTTTTTTCTTCAAAATTCAACCCTGCACATTTCAAGAATGTGGAAAAAATATCAACACGGCTTTAGCAATAACATCTTTAAAAATGGCTCACAGCCAGTCAAAGTCAGCCGTCCAAGTAAAAACCATGACATAAGCATATACATTTAATGTTTTATGCAAACCACACTCCTCATCTGCATATGTTGTTTGATTTTCCTGCAAAGTCTATCAGTGTAAACCACATGACTATTTCAAAAGTTTTACGTTGCTTTGCTAAAAGATGAAGGGTGTAAAGAGGAAAAGAACCTAATCTAAAATCAATATGAGACCTGATCTTTTATAAACAGATCACCTGACTATGCTATTATGAATTATTATTGTATATAAAAAGTCCCACAAACACAAAGTACTCTGTAACCTTGATTAGAGTGCGCAGCTTGACTTGAATACAACATCATTCACTGGCCTAGATGTGTCTTTTCAAACACTGTTTAAGGAGTGTACGTGTTCGCAGGCTTAATTATTTCTCTACAAACTATAAGGAACACAGCCACAGAGCAGAATATTTCCAATGCCAGGTCCCGAAACCTCTTCCACGGATCCAACAAATCTGACGACATTTCTGTGTCAGTTTCTGTGCGATGTCTTGGCTGAACATCAGTGAAAAATCTGATATCTCACCCACCCCGCTTTCATCTGACATCCAAGCCAGGTTTCTGTATACTGCTCACCCTAAATAGCACAAAGATGTACTGGTACAAGGGGATTCTGTGTTTCTGCCCTGCTTTTAAGGTATACAATCACTTTCCCAGACATAAAACCACACTTTTGTGGGAACCTAAAAGGGAGCTATGTTCGTCCCTGAGATGGCTAAGTGAAGACAAGCAGTTTCTGGCTGCAGGTCTCGTTTCAGCTCAGACAGCAGTGGCTCTCATAAAAGAGTGAGACGAAAAACGTTGCTGATAGAAGTCACGCTGCCCCCTTCTACCTCCTCCCTCCTCCCCTGCCTGCTCCTCATATTCTGATAGGAGTCATGCTCTTCTTTTTTTCGTCTCTGCTGCTGCGATCTCCTGTCCTGTTGTCTCTCCTCTCGTCTCCTCTCTCCCCTCATTTCCTCCCCGGCTCCTCTTTCTTGCCTCTTGATCCTCTCCTCTATGCAAACTGAGTTATGTGACTGAAATACTGTAGCAAGAAGAATTAATTTCTGAATTAAGCACACATCGAAAAGCACAAATTGTGGCAATACTGCACTTTACAAAACCCCCCTTTTTTTTGTGGCGCCACTGTGAGAAGGCTCTGATGTTAAGCTCAATCATAGAGCCCATACAAGAAGCAAAACAACTCAACACATGAAAAATTAGGGACATTTTTTTTTTCTTGATGTGTCTTTCAAGTGGCCACTGAACCACAATGTAAACTCACAGTACCAAAAAAGAAATAAGGGGAATTCTGCTTTTCTTCTCTGCAATGCTGACTGGTCTGTAGGCTAATTAGTAAAATGTAGGGGGCGAAAATAAACAGTGAAGCGCTGTCTGAAAAGTAACCACGTAACAAGGAAATGTTTCAGAAAACTACAACAACACTGTTGCAACACTGAAAACAAGGGAGACCAAAAAAAAAGGCTTTTCCTCTTTTAAGATGTAACACAAGAAGTTACAAACCTTCTCTTCTATTTACCAAACTGGAGCTAGTACCTCTCAAGGATCTCTCTGTGCATATTTATCTCTACTGTTGACTGCAGACCTTTTTTTTTTTTTTTTTGTTTTTTTTTTTTTTCAAAAGGCACTGCAAGAAACAGCACTGCAAAGCAGCCAAGCCTGGCTGGTAAGAACCCCCTGTCGAATAAAACACAACAACAGCAAATGATTTTCTCAATGGCTCCCACAAGACTGAAGAGTGCAGAGAGAGAGAGAGAGAGAGAGAGAGAGAGCGAGAGATGGGAAGACTGAGGGAGAATGAGAGGAAGAGGAGTGGGAGAAAGAGGTGGAAGATGAAATGCAATGGGGGGGAGTGAGGTAGAAGGGACTGGGGGGAGAGAGGGGAGACATTTCATAGCGCAACAGTGTGGGAGACAGAGGAGGGAGAGGTGGAGAGCGAGAGGGAGAGAGATTATTGCTTGCTTGAGAGCAGCAATCTTGAGCTGTGCCATGAATACCAAAGACTGTACAGCCCTCCAGTCTACGCCTCTCTCTCTCTCTCTCTCTCTCTCTCTCTCTCTCCCCCGCTCCCCCATTGAAAACGCAGCGGAATTGCAGCTGCCCAAATTATACACCGATAACTCACTTACTCTCCGTTGAAAACGACTCAGCAGCAGCTCAGTACTCCATCCATCCATAATTATTCATATCAGACCAGCACACTCAGAGACTCAAACCGCAAGGACACGTTTTCGGAAGATCTCAGCAGATGTCTGTGCAACAATTAAAAAATGATCTAATGTGGCCCTACAGGGACGATAAGCCAAACGCACGGACCTAATTGAGTGCAGAATGAGCGTGAATGAGCCTACGGGCAAGTGATCTGCATGCAATTTTCATGCAGTTTCACCAGCCCTGGCGCACACGGAGAGGGCAAGGACGCAGCGCTGGTTCAAGTATTCAAATGGACTGAATACTAAACCGTGTGGAGTCCGTAGGGGTTCACGTTTCAAGATCTTAATTCCACAACGCGATAATGAAAAGAGGGTCGTGGTTGATCATTTCAACTGTAGAGATAGGCTACACTTTACTGACTGAACGGGAGATGTGTAAAAACACTTTCTGGGAGAATGCCAAATAAACACAAATGTTGCTGGTGCTCCAAAAGTAACGACTCTTTTGAATTATTGAGCGAATCCATAGGTTTAGTGAAAGCTGGGATTTGACCGTGAAACACACACACACACACACACACACACACACACACACACACACACACACACACACACACACACACACACACACACCCCCCTCTCTCTCTCTCACACACTCACAAACACACTAAGTCTGTGTTGACGGTGATCCAAAAGAAAAGTTGTGCGCTGCCGTTGCGCGGAGGCACCGAGACAGCGAAAGAGAGCCCTCGCCGAGATTAGCCACTATACGTGGCCAGACACACACACACACACACACACACACACACACACACACACAGCGCGCGCACACACACAAACGCAAGCTCTCAGACGCGCACACCAAAGGAGCGCAAATACGCAGACACACACATTGATACACACTGTGCTGGAAACGGGAAAAAATACAGTCTGTGTTAGGTGCAAACCGCACAACCAACCGTCATCCAGTGGCTCCTAGGTGCGAAGAAAGTCTGCACTGTTAACAGCCAGCAGCACAACAAAAACAACCAAGTCTTCATATTTAGTTACTATCGCTAATGCGCAACGGCTGTGTGGGGTTTCCACGGCTTATTTCTGATTTGCTCATGCATAACAAAGTCCGACATCCTGTCTCGGTGACCTTTTTTAATTCATATGCAGTTTGGATTCACCCAGTGACGGACCATAATCTCCCCAGCATCCCGAGGACCGAAACATTTCACCTCGTTCTCTCTCGCCTGTTTTACGCTCATTAAAGCATCTGCAGAGGGAGACGCACGGACAGAAAGAGGGGATAGAAACAGACTGGAGGGAGGGGGGAGAGAAGAGATGAATGGGACTGTGTTGAGGTAACAGCGACAAAATCCCAGTCCTTTAACTCAAGCGGTCCTTACCTTGGAAGTGAGAGACTCCGTGCGCAGCCCGTCTCTCCAAGGAAATTTCCCCAATACATAAGCCAGCAGAGAACGAGCACTTCTCTCAACTAGTATTGCTTCTTTTAACAGATGTCCAACACATCCACTGATTGAAAACCCAGTTTTTCTGTTTGTGTGCGCTTGGAGAAGAGGAGGGTTAAAAAATAAAACCAAAGCAGAGCCAAGTCGGTTCTCCTCAAACCCAAAATGTTCTCTCTCCTGTTTTTATCCGCTGGAGCGCAGAGGCAGAAATACCCAACCGGCCAAGCGGGTTCAAAGATGAGTAGAAAAAAGAGAGGGTAAAAAAAAAAAAAAAAAAGATAGAGCAGTAGTGCGTCTTGATAAGGTTCCGAGATTGAAGTGATGAAGAGGAGTGTTGTTGGTGTTGGTTTTGAGGAGGTGAGTGTCGGGAGAGAAAAGAGGGAAATCACCGTAACATCCCTCCCTCCTTTGGGTATCAAATCCGGTACCGTCAGCGGCGTTTATCCGTCCTCCCTCCAAGAGCCTCGGAAGCGGAGTGAGGGAAGATGATCGGGCGCGCAGCAGCAGCAATGAGAGTGAGTGAGTGAGTGAGAGAGAGAGAGAGAGAGAGAGAGATGTCGCTGCCGATGGAGGGCGTTGGAAACTAGTGTAACCCTCTCTCTCCTCTCACTTTCTATGCGGGCTTTCCATAGTGATCATTTAATACTTTTGTTATTAGGATGCTATTTAAATAGCCTGTCATCTGACTGTGGGGATAAGTTTAGGCAACACAGAGGATGAATAAAATCCTCTACTTAATGAGATCTGATAACAGATACTTTAAACATCCACAGAGCTGATAGAATATTACAGCCTACAGTGAAGAATATATTTATTAAAATCTCTGATAGTGTTTATAAAGAGCACTTGTGCTGCGTATGATGTCTTTTATATAATGAGGAAGAGTTTAGGGTCCCATATGTCCCCTTTGGTGTCACACTGTACACCTTCTGATGCCAAATCCAGACTGAGCAGCAGAGGAACCCCTGCAGGAGGGGGTAGACAAATGCAACAGTTGCTGCTTGCTCATTGGCTGAGAGCAGCATCCAACCACTGCCAGAACACGTTTAGAATCTCATATGCAGCCAATGAGAGGAGAGGAGGGGAGTGTGGAGGGAGGGGCGGCTGTGGAAGACCCTTTTTTCTGAGATCTGATTGGTTGAACAAAAGTCCCATTTAAAATATCACCTGGCCAATGATGTGAGAGGAGGAAAAACTCTTCTCAGTGTCAATCTCATCATCATTTCAGTCAGGTGAAACAGATAGTTTGTGACTGTTCATCTATGTCTTGCAGAAGTATTCACTAAAGCAACACTTTTTATTTATTCATGCATATTTGATGCTCCATAGACTCTTTTGCGTCAGAACCTGACTCATTTGCTTCTTACATGTATCTTTGCAGAGACATTTAAAGCTTTCATGTGATGTGTGGATTATTGTGTTGATGTGTCATGCAAGCCTTACTGTACACCTGCTCCCATATGAAAACATTGTACAAGAATTACCCAATATTGCACCCTAAGGAGATTACTTGGGTTCTTGTGAATGTTTTTTTCTGATTAAACACTGTTCCTGGAAGGCTGATACAAAGTTAGTGACATTACATGCAGGTTTTCATTTCAAGAATACAACTAATGGCATTGTTTTATGTTTATCCAGAATTTCAGCCCTTTTTTCAGCAGTTTGAGCTACAGCTTCTAACATGTCAACTTTGAGGACAACATGTTTACTTGTGTACCACATTGAGAAATTTCAGAAAACCTTTTTTTTTTTTTTTTTCTTTTAAAGCAGCAATGTCTGATGTCAGTTGTGAGTGGCTGACAGCAGTCCCTTTTTCTAATGTTCTGTGTGTGTTTTAGGGGGCGTTCATGGAAGAGGTTTAAAAAAACTTTGATTTAGTGCTCATTCGCAACAGGGACAGCAGGGGCTTTCATCCAGTGAGGAACAGTAGATGATAATACACATTTTCATTATGGCATTCAGCAGGCCTTTATTACTTTGGATGCAAAATGACATAATTAGATTAAGATAAAGGGCAGGTTGTCAAATGTAATTAGAGGGTATTTTTGGCCATAACGAATGAACATGTAAACAACTGCATCCCCTTTTTAGCACACAGTCTCTTCATTTCAGAGTGTCTGGTATGCAGACAGATTAGAAATTAGCTTCAATAAATTACTGTATTTAAAATTCTTAATGCACACTACCTGCTCCTCATATCTAGTTTTTTTAATTTTTTTATTCTGTGCCGAAGCCTGCAAGTGCAAGGGGCGCCAAGGCAATGCTAAGAACTAAAAGAGGAATTGATTTGTTTCTCCTCTTCAAAGACAGGAATTTCATGGTTTTTTAAAGCTTATACGTGCACACACCTTCCTCACTGGCGCTGAGTGAGGATGGAACTGTTTCACCATTTTTCACCCCGGAAAATAAGTAGAGCAGAAAACATTAGGGGTTTTTCTTGGTGCACTTAATGGGATCATTTTTTGTTTAAAAAACTACAACAAAAGTTTACTTTAAAATTCAAAATGTTGTAGTAGACATTGAATTAGTTAAGTAATAATATGAAAGATGATTGCTATACATGCTATACACAGTTACAGTACATCCCGCAGTACCAGGAACTCCCTTCTGTATGTTATTACTTACTTCCGGTATCAATTTGAGTTCCACTGGAGCAGTTTGAGAGCAGCTGAGAGGACATCAGTTTGGCATCCCAGCAACTTACTGTGAGAGGCTGATACAGCCCAGTTTAATTGCTGTCCAAAGCTCCTGAGCTTGTCTGGGACGTCTTCATTGCTATAGATAAACGGGCAGGTTGTAGTCAGAGGTCTTGGAGTGTAAGCAGTCAAAAGAGTCAATTATTCACTCTGGTCAAGACAGAAATACACAGCTAGCTGATCTGAGATTTCCACTGAGGGTCATCATACGTCTACAATTTTACTAAATACAAATTGCTTGACCGTAGTGTATCATTTTACTCATAGATTCATCCCACGTGACTTTAAAACGTACCTCCGGCCATTTTCATCATGAACCTTATTTTCTGATCTCTCTCTGTCAGTTTTAATGGTGCCTCCGCTGTTGCTTTGACATGTACTTGTTTATTCTTTGCTAACTGGCTAGTTGTCAACATGCACTGCAGAGTAAAGTAATGCAGCTTATATTGTCAGGGCAGGGCAAGGAATGATCACCACGGCCCACCGTGCCCCGGAGTGTGGCTGTAAAGTCCCGTCTAATTTTAATTATTTTAATGATTTTAACTAACCCCTTAGCCAGTTTGGCGTGCCCTGTTTTGAAATGGATTGCGGCCTACGAATTTCCTCATATACAGCTACTATAAAATGACGCAGCAAATAAACAAACTCATGTTTCCCAGTGTCTCTGTCAACATGGTGGACATCAACTGCAGCACAATATTCCTCACACTCTCGGAAATATATGTGCAACCAGAGACGGCTCAGAAAGTTAATGTTGTGAGCATCTTTGGTGTAGTGTTAACAGAGGGGTAGTTACATCAACTTCAATCAACCATAAAATGTGTAGATAACTCAGGCTGCAAGTTACTGAAAGGCTGTGTGTTGTGTGTGCTGCCAGACAAAATAAACAAAATGTCCTCCTTTATGTATTGTTACTTTGGCATCTTCTTGTACTCCTCAGAGTTGAAGCTGGCTTGTTAGCAGCTACGAGTCAGGCTAATGACAGTTAAAATATCCTAAAACCAGAGGTCTCCCAAATACGTTTCAGAGTTGCGGATGTTTTTGGATGAATGTTACTGCTGCAATAATGTGTATGTTGCACTTTACTGCTGTAGACGTTTAAGGTTTGCTCAGTTTTTATACTGTTGGGTAGTTTTGGCCTTGGTACCCTGAAATTTCACCACAATTCTGCAATACATTTAAGCCAAAGTGGCCTTTCCCTGCCAAAAAAAAAATTACTGAATTCCAGGCCTTTGAGGGCTCTCAGGTCATGGTTTCATAGAAAATAAAGTACACACATGAATTGTTAGAGTATCATTATGCTAAAAAAAACATGCTTTGGATGCCTTTGGGGCGGACTTTCTTAGGTGTCCATTTGCCTTATAGAATTCCATTAGAGAGCCATGGACCATGGCAAGCACTGTGTAAAATAACTCTATGGTTAGCAAAAAGAGGAGTAAACAAAGTAATTATTAAAGGAAAAATGATGATTTACCCACCCGCAGATTTAAACCACAATGTTTGGACCACAAGCTCGCTCTCTAAACCTTAAAGCAAACTGCGTCTCTCAGCAGGCATGGCGCTTACATTAATGTATGTCACGAAGAGCCTTTGAAACTGAAACATTGCACAAAGGGGAGAGTACAGTATAATGCTGTGTGTGATGGCCTCAATGAGAGCCTGCAGTCTCATGTTGTAAACATTCAGCTGAGGTAGCAGTTCCGAGAGGTCTGGAGTCGAAAGACGATTCTGTTGTTGAACACACTGACCCACAAACCCCAAACAGTAAGGCAATATTCACCCAGAGCTGGGCCACCCACAGGATGCACACACACACACACACACACACACACACACACACACACACACACACACACACACACACACACACACACACACACACACACACACACACAAATACGGACACCAGGACATATTGAAAACAACAGGAACTCAAGCTTAAAATCAATTTTAACTAAAATACTGCAAGACCATGCGATATAAAAGATGAGAGAGGAAACGACAGAATGAGAGAGATCTTTTCCCCTCTTCGCCTTGATGATGTCACTGCTCAGTCAGAAAGTATTAACACCTCTAACGCTGCATACCACACTGTTTTAGACAACTGTGTGTGTGTGTGTGTGTGTGTGTGTGTGTGTGTGTGTGTGTGTGTGTGTGTGTGTGTGTGTGTGTGTGTGAGGCTGAGTCAGTCATGACTAAGGATATTTAAACATAAGTTTGGTTACCATCCATTCTGGGTGATTGGACATGAGAGAAGAAACACACACAGCTTGCTTACATGAATATGCTCCACTGACTATACAGACAGAGACCTGAGTGTGTTATTTACATTCTAATTCATACTTCAATCTGTCAGTTAACCCTGCAAGTTGTTCAGGATCATGAGGCATTTTCAGTGTCTTTCCTTATCATGGCCTGAGAGTGGAGTTATTCAGAAGAGTGGACGTCACCAACTTACTTTGTTCCCTTCCTTTTTTGTTCTGGGTAAAAGTGACATTTTAATAAATGGCGGAAGGAAATTTCATTCAGGGTGAAATAATTACATTTGTGCAACTTGAGACTCACGTATCATTTCATCGTTGCAATTGAGAAACCTGTTACAGAATGCACGATGGCATAACTACAATACAAAAGGTTAATATCGGTTACAAAATGTATTTGAAGAGTTTTTTAAATAAGATTCTGCAAATAAAAAGACGAGGATCAATGTATTCCTTCTCAGTAGTACAGATGTAATTCTCAACAACATCATAGCATTGTATTGCTATCATCTTCCACCTTGCACGCCAC